TACTTTCTCTATTATTATATCAGAGTAGAAGGATTTAATAAAAAAATTTTTTTGGGCACGTTTAGATTCCACGCCATTTTGTAAAAAAATATTAAGAAATAAATCAACTCAAAGTATTTGAAAGGTGATTCTAAGACTTTTCAAATGCTACCTGGTAGAACTCTAACATTTTTTAAGCAAAGTTATAGCGATTTTTGTGAAAAAAAATCATTTTCAATACAAAGTTAGATAGCTTGGAAATTTCAATGTATAGAGAAATATGTTATCAGGAAAAAATGTTCTATTTACTGTATAGATAATGTTGAAAAATATTTTGGAAGGTTTAGAGAAGATAAATTTTTCAATGATATTCGACCGACGAATTTTTTCATATTTTCATTTTGAAATTTAGATCATCACATGACTACGGTCTTTTATCATTGGAAACCTTGCCAATTCAAAACAAACCGAAATTTGAATATAAATAAAAATATCCTGTTGTCATTCACATCGGAGGACTATTCTGTTAATAAGACTTCTTACATATAAACATTCGTTAGATTCGTAAATTTTGAAATTTCCTACTTTGTTTCTACATAAAATCTCATCAATTTACGTAGAGTCCTTCGATAAAATTGGCAAAAACAAAAAATCACTCTCTTGATACGCGTTCTGAAATTGTCTTTCTACATAAACGTGGAAAAAGTAATCGGGCAATTGCAAACATTTTGGAAATAGCAAGAGCTACCGTTAATTATAACGTCTTGAAGTTTCGGAAAAGAAATCGTGAAGAATAAAAAAATTATTGGTAGACCAAAAAAAAACGATAAATCAGGAGATAATTATATTACGTGCAGTAGTATTAAAAATCGACGTCTTACTATTCCTCAATTGTGCTCTGAAATGAATGAACACGTTGACAATGTTAGAGTTTCTATTGTAAATCGGTGACTAGTTGAGAAAGGTCTATCAGGAAGAGTTGCTCTGAAAAAATCGCCTTTGAGAAAAATTAATCAAAAAAAGAGGCTTCAATGGGCTAAAACGCATGGAAATTGGAGCATTAGTCAGTGGAAGAAAGTGCTATGGAGTGATAAATCCAAATTTGAAGTTTTTGGCTCTAAACATTTAATCTACGTGCGACGACGAGTAAACGAAAAGTTCTCAAAAAAATGTATCATACCATCTGTGAAACATGGAGATGGTTCTGTGATGGTTTGGGGATACTTCGGAGGATCGAAAGTTGGTGAATTAATTAAAATAGATGGCTTTATGAAAAAAGAACAGCACAAATGAATTTTGCAGAAAAATATGACTCTATCTAGTACAAAAATTATTAGGAAAGAATTTACCTTCCAACAAGATAACAATCTGAAGCATACTTCCTAAAAAAATGTAAAACTTATTTGAAAAGTTTACAGAAAAAGAAAACATTAACTGTCATCGAATGGCCGCTATAATCACCAGATCTTAATCCCTAACCGCATTAATCTGGGAAGAATTAGATTGAGCTGTACTTCCAAATTCCATTTATGGAAAATTTTACAGTAAGAATGGAAAGAAATCACAAGAGAAAAATTGGATAAATTGCATAATCGAGGCAAGAATATTATTATAATATTATGTAGATTAACTTGTTAGTTCATTGCTTAATCATATCCTTATTCTAATAATGGGGGCATGGGACATAGGGCCTACATGTCGATACGAGAGTAGATAACTGCTGCCGGCGGGGGACATGATGTCTACATATTGATACACAACAGTCAGTAACAAGAGATGCAAGTCGATATGCATCTACCAACAAACAGCCCATACGCTGGTAACGTAAAGATTGATTTCGTTACCGATTGCCGGTAAAGAGGGAATGAATTCTCGCATAGTAAATGACTCGGAATCCCCATAGCCAATACTACTCTGAAATAATATTTGTTAATACATACAGCAGTATTATTAACAGACAAGAGAATACTCAATATCTCAGTAAACAATACAATAGTATTCTCAAACTTTCTAAATAGATTTATTGTTATTGGTTATCTAGTATCATATTATCACATAAGCTATTGCCCGATGAAATATTTTCGTATCCTTGTTTTATTAAAAATTGGCTTTGTTCATAATTTCATATATTAATATAATTAATTATTTTTGTATTCTGTTTATATTTTCCTCATTGTTTCTCAGTATAACTTGTGTTGTGTAACTTCTCACTCCTATTTTGTACTACGTTTTCTGATTGATATGTATTATATTATGGTTAGTCATCATATTTTACCACCGAATGCTTTATTTTTTGAATAAAGGACTGGATGAGGCTGGAAGACAAACCAGCGAAACATTATCGAAAATAAATTGAATCGAGATTTTTTATTTGATATTGGGATCACTCTCGTATTTCTTTGTTTTATAATTTCACGAAATTTAATATGATTGAGAGTATATAATGGTTAATCATCTTTTTCAGCGAAATATTAGTGAATTCGTTATTTAGTGATTCAATGTGTGGCGGTTACTCCACGTCGCGCTGAGCCAACGTCAGGTGACACTACACTCGGCTCCGAGAGACGGCGAGCACGAAAACAAATAATTGTGCCGCGAGAAGAATTCAAATAATCTTGCGCTAGCTTTCCTTCACCCAGACGCAACCATTGTTCTCATTGCTGACGCCTCTTCAACCGCCATAGGAGGAGCGCTAGAACAGCAACTTGATGGTAAACGACTGCCTCTTGGATTTTTTTCTAGAAAATTATCGCCTGCCGAAAAAAACTACAGCCCGAACGACCGTGAGCTCTTGGCAATTTTTGCAACCCTAAAATACTTTGCGCACGTCGTGGAAGGCAGATCCTTTTTGATCAGGACCGATCACAAGCCTCTGGTGAAGGCGTTCCAGCAGCGACCAGACAAGGCTTCGCCGAGACAACTCCACCAGCTCGACTACATTGGCCAGTTCTGCACCTCAATTGTGCACATTCTAGGTCAAGAAAATCAGCCAGCCAGCATAGAAGTCCCTAAAGCTCGCTTCAACCATGTGCATTTGGACCTAATCATAATGCCGCTAGTCAACGACCACAGGTATTGCTTAACAATCATAGATAGATTTACCAGGTGGCCGCAGGCCATCCCGCTAAAGAACCAGCTAGCCGAGGTGGTGGCCCGGGCATTCTACTCTGGATAGATCACCATCTTCGGTACTCCGTTAACCATAACCACGGACGAAGGTCTCCAATTTGAGTCAGCCCTATTCGGCTCTCTAACCAAACTCATTGGCGCCACCCGCCTTCGGACGACGCCGTATCACCCGCAGTTCAACGGCATGATAGAGCGCTGGCATAGGACCCTCAAGGCTGCCTTGATGTGCCAACTCAACTACCCCTGGACGGAACTGTTGCCTACAGTGTTGCTTGGATGACGCACCGCTTACAAGGAGGACATAAAAGCTTCACCTGCTGAATTTTTCGTGGCCCAGGACCAGGCTGTTGACACAATCACCTTCCTGGACCACCTCAGGAGACACTTCAAAGTCATCAGACCAACACCCACGTCTCATCACTTAAGACCGAAACAATTTATGCACGGCGATCTCCGATCGTGCTCGCATGTTTTTAAACTAGGAGCGCCAGTGAAGACGCCGCTCACTCCATCTTATTCGGGTCCCCATAGAGTGATCGAAAGGCTGGACGATCTCAGATACATTATCGACGTGGACGGATCCCCGCAAACTTTATCGACCGTGAAGCTGAAACCTGCCTATTTAGCAGCAGAGGACCTGCCTGCCTGACAAAATCGCGAACTACACGCGCCTCCAAGAACCATCTCTTTCAACATTCCAGACAACGCAACTCATAGCAGTCAAGACAGGACACCGTCGCAAGAAGTCTCAACATTCGAACCCGCCTCCCAACGAACTTCCCGTGCTTCATCCTCGACAGAACTGCCTTTTAATCAGGTACCTTCCAGGAAGGGAGTGGCTGTGGCGGTTACTCCACGTCGCGCTGAGCCAACGTCAGGTGACGCCACACTCGGCTCCGAGAGACGGCGAGCACGAAAGCAAATAATTGTGCCGCCAAAAGAATTCAAATAATCATGCGCTAGCTCTCCGACCTTCAACAAGTAAACATTTTCGGTCTGAAGCTTGAGAAAACGCTTTTCCCGCATTCCTGTACGGTACTGTGCCACAGCTCTGGCGTCCCGAGTTATTCGCGCAATTTATTATATTTCTGCGTTCTGTAAAATAAAGATTGCCTTCAATTCGATACAGTTAATCTTGTGAGTGATTTATTTTACCTTATTTACGCAACTCCGAAACGCACGAGAGCTGGGCCTTGTGCGTGTGGCGACACAATACCCAAGCTCGCTGCATCTTCGAACATCTTAACAACTGTTGTCATTGACTATTCATTGAAATATAATAAATTATCATTTAACTTAATATTTTCTCATGTACAAATCGATAAACTTTTAACGATTTTTGTATCATTTTTCGTGGAATAATTTATACAAGAGACGTATTATCTATAGACCAGAGTTTATTTTCAGTTAGAGATTTAACAATTATTAAATCAATTATAACAAGTTGAAATGATTATATAGCATCAAAATTATTTCATGTGATTTTAAACATACAATAAATTATATTTAAAAAATAGCCTTGTAGCACAATTTTTTTATCCTTGAAAAGATAATTATAATTTAATTACAAATACAATTGAATAAACCATGCAAAATAAATGAATTAATTTTTTATATCTAAGTAAAATCATTTCTATCCAGGGTAAATAACATAGCTGTTTTATTACATTTTATCATCTTTCCTGATTTAATCATATTCAGCTTTTTTCTATCTATTATTTAGTTACTTTCTAGGTTCATTATCGTTATTAAAATTCACGACATTGACCAACATTAATGAAATATAGTATAGTTATTTTCATTCTATTACTTCTAAATTTCATAATTTTACTCTAATATTTATTTAATAATTTTATTAAATATATATTATTGCTTTCTTTATTTTTTTACAGGTGATATCAAATAAACGAGAGGTAGCCATGGGCTACTCGCAGCTAGCTTTGAAAATTGAACCGTCAGATGATTTGGATCCTGATGATACAACCGAGCTTATGACATAAAACACTTATAAGTAACCTTATTGTCAATCATGAAGATGGAGAAATATTACGTTTCTGAAACGTATGGACATTAATAGTTAGATAAATAGGCTCATGAGTGTCTGTAAAATACAAAATACAAATGATGGAAATGAAACTGTGCCAACACAATCTGAAGTAGACTTTATGATGGCTCTAATGACAAGATTAACAATTTACTGTACAGCAACCAATTTAAATATTAGTTTAAATGTCCACATAAACTCTAGAATGCATTTGAAATATGAAAATGATATTGGAAAGTAAAGACACTAATTTAAAGCAGCCTAATAAATTCCACTTTATTTTGCAATAAATTTTTGAAAAAAGTAATAGTAAGATAAATTGTGAATATAGAATATTTATTACATATTTCAATAGCTTTCATTATAAGTTACATACCAGGAATCAGTTATAATAATTACATATTACGTCTGAAAGAAAATTATGTAGAATTACTAAATTGTTTCTTTTATAAAATTAAAAAAATTGATCAATTATTTTTCAAGTAATCATTCTTCAATTGACCTAACTCATAAGGTCAATCATGAATTTAAAGAAAATAAAGCCATAGTAGCTATTGATCAAAAACAATAATAAAACTGTTTCATATAATGACAAAATATTCTAATGAACATAAATATACCATGAAAATTAGTAAAATATAATAACAGTAAATTATAATTTGAAAAATAAAAACAAAAAATGATAACATTTGTTTACTTGGAAGCACTATATAAATTGTAAGTAGGCATATGATACATGACATATATTGCAATCAGTCTACAAAAATACTGTATCTATTACTTAGTTGAAAGGTACACTTCATTTGAGACACTAAACTAACATTAATCTTTTTCATTTGTATTTATTTATTTATACTTTTTATAACTTATTTCAATTTTGATTTATCAAAATACTCTGTAATTATAATAAATTGTATGTAATATATGACAATTCGATTGACCAATGTATTCTTATAAAAATTGACCAACATGTTTGAATAATATATGCTTCTATTCGTTAATCATGTAATATTGACCATTGTTAAGAAAATTAAGAAAAATTTTAGAGATATAAAAACCGTTCCTTATAACCTGTTGTAGTTAATTACACTTTAATTTTATTTTATTTAAGCCAGTGAATTTTACAAAAATGCAAGATTTTAAAAATATATGAACATTTTTATATATTATAAACATCTCAATGTTATTATATTTACGGTATAATATTATGAAAATGAATACACAGATTTTTTATGCTATCTTGTTATTTATGCAATTGAGACTGTACTATAGTAAGACAGACGCTAGTTACAAATATTTGTTTAAATTTCCAAGTGCAATGGCTCTGGACTTTTATTCAAAGACCTAAAATTATTTAAAGAAATATATTCTTAAGATCAACAATTATCATTCAGAGTTTGAGTAATCAGAATGTATGAAGTAAAACTCATTTTTTAAATAAACCTTGTAAAAAGTGTCTATTTATAAATTATATTTATATTTCTCTCATCTAATTAAGATATTTAATATTAAATTTCAGTTAATTTCTTTTCACTAAGAACATCTGTATAAGTAAAAATGTTAACTAAAAAATATAAGTTCTCTAATAATACATAAACATTTTCAAAGCGTGTTGGAAATGTTTTCGCGCAGACATTTATAAAATTAGATAAAGAAAAGTAATCTAAATGTGTTGAAAACTTCAGATATGTCCGTCGATTTTACGAGATGGAATTCAAGAGAAAGTTTGGCAAACGTTTGAAATAAGTGTAGAAAACGTTTTATAAAAAAAATATATATAGGAATTCGAATTGAAAAAGTTTTCGAAACATTTTGAGAACATGTGAATCGATCAAACCAACACTACCCATACTTCCATTCATATTATCATTCACATTATTATTCATACTTTTTAGAGATTTCCTCTCCTGGGATAAAAAATACAATATGCTATCGTACGTCTGAATTATATATATTTATGATATGTACGAGGGTGGGCCAATAAGTCCTTAGAAAAAGATAGATAAACAATTTTTTTTGGTACATTTTTTTTATTTTTCAACATAATCTCCTTTTAGCTCGATACACTTTTCCAGGTATTCGTCAAGTTTTTCTAAGCCATCAGAAAAAAATAATTTTAGAAATTCCTCAAAATAGCCATTTTTGTTATGACCTCGTTCGAGATGAATCGTTGTCCGGCAAGACACTTTTTTAAGTTTAGGAATAAAAAAAGTCACTAGGGGCGAAATCTGGTAAATACGATGGATAGTCTATTAATTCGAAATTCAATTCCTTTTGAGCCTTCAATTTGAGCCATTGAAACTAAGCAAGTATGCACTCATGCATTGTCTTGATGAAACAGAATATTGTTTGTTCAAATGTGGAGTTTTTTCTTTATTTTCTCGCTTAACCGGTCCAATAATGATGCATAATAATCTCCGGTGATTGTTTGTCCTTTTTCTAAATAGTCGACGAAGATAATTCCATGTGTATCCTAAAAAACAGTGGCAAAAACCTTGCCGGCCGATTTCACTGTTTTCGTCTTCTTTGGAGCTGGTTGACCTTTTATAATCCACTATTTTAACTGTTTCTTCGTCTCATGAGTGTAGTGGTCTATTTACGTTTCGTCTACAGTTTGAAAATATCGACCACTTGAATTTCTAGTTATGAAACTTTATCAAAACGTTTCAAAAATGTAATTTTACCTGAGTATCAGCAATTTTGTGAATATATCTGACATTTCTAAAACGTTTTTAAAACGTTTATTCCACCAAAATCTTACAACGGTCTATAGTTTTTCTGGTGTTTTATGGTGTATCACGGTTTTCGATGAATTTCTGATGTTAAATGGTTGCTCATAAGATTGTATGGTATTTTATGGTGTTTTACTTCTGGCACTTCATGGGTTTCATAGTATTTTAAGATGTTCTACAGATCTTGATGGATTTAATGTTTATCAATTGGTCCTTAATGTACGCCATGGGTGTTTTATGGCATTCTACGGATATCGAATTCATGGTTATCCATGCTTCCATATGATACTCCATGAATTATTGGGTTATTCATGGTACTTAATGGGTTTACATAGTATTTTAAGTTTTTTTATGGTATTTCATCGTTTTTTATGGTACTTCACGGATCTCGACGGATTCATGATTCTTTATAGTTTTTCCTAGTGCTTCATGGGATCTCTATAAGTTTACGGTTCATCATTGTTTCTTATGATACTCAATGGGGTTACAAGATCTTTTATGTTGTTTCACGAAAATTGATGAATCTGTTCTCGATTCATACTGGTGGTACTCCATTAGTGTACTATCAATAATCATACAAAACCATAAATGTGCGATTCAACTTAATATAATAACAAGATTTCTTCGTGAATTCGTTTATTTTCAACTATTCTACGTTAATATGCTGCCTGTCTGCGTAGATAAGATCTGTATCAATATAAAGAGGAGTACGAAATAGTTTTTTTGCGATTGTGACTCGAAATTGGTTGCCGATTGTTTCTTGCGATCAAGAGTCTTGGTCGACAGCCGTAGGAGCGTAGGCACGAATTTGGCCGGTTACGGTTAAGCTTCATCCGAGTGACACTACTTACAGTAAAATGGCTGTTCTTGAGCCAACTGAAATCTTTTTATTTTATTTTCTATTTCCCTGTAAACCTTCTAATTTTCTATTAGTCAAATCACAAGTTGATGACAACATCTATGCCTCAAAAAAATTTCATTTTAATTATTGCTGCTTTTTAAAAGTTATTCAAGAATAAGTTCTTTTGGTTTTTTGTCAAACTATAATAATTAATATATATAATAATTCTCCCCAGGTGTATATCAAAATACGGTTTATATTACGTTATATTTTACGTTACTTACGTCAAACTCTGAAATTAAATGAAAGAAAACAGCACTGTTACTATAACTCTATAAACTATTTCATATCAATTTTTTATATAATTTATTAAATTACGATATTTTATTAATATATTAATTTAAATTAATTTATTTTTAATTTAACTCTAATATATACTTTTTTCACTGTATATCAAGGTAGATATATAATGGTGTTTTTTGTTATTGTAATATTGTTTTATTATAATGTTAATGTTATATTAATAATTTTTTTTTTATTTTCTTATTTTATTTAATAAATTTGAAATACTCATAGTCATATTATTTTTATATACATAGTTTATTTTCTTACAGCGTAATTATTGGTTGAAACTTTAGTACCTTTAATGAACTATTTTCCCGTCACACACCCTTATACACTTTTCAAAAAAGTTAAAAACTAGCTGGCGAGTTGACATTACACAATCTCTCCATACATTACCTATTTCAAAATATTGCCTAACTAATTGCATCTGCTTTGATTTATAAAAATAAATTTTTTGATAATTGAAAAAATTATTGCTGCCCAAAAGCTCTGTGTAATCAGTATTATTGTCTGCTAACATAATATAATTTTCTGTAGTCAAACAAACAAACATTTTCAATATCAATCAAGTCATTTCTTTTACAGAAAAGATAATATTTTAATAATTATGCTTATTATTTGTTTTAAATAGATTGTCAAAAATTACTAGGAGGTATAACTCGAAAATATAATTGTTAGTTTAAACTTTCAGGAAACCAAAGAATGTGAAATCATTTTTTTACATCAGGCAAGTTTATTCATATAATTAGTAATTATAACTATTATTATGTTGGATTTCAAAAAATATGGTCATAAGTCACATAATCAGACGTTCGTTATTTATCGTCACCATAAGCCTCAAATAAACATCATAAGACTTCTCGTCACGCCCCTCGCTGTGGAAATTAATAATGAAACTCAATCTATTGCAAATAGGGGTTTCACGAGAAAATACGCCAAATCTTGTTTCATAAATGTAATATATATTTTTATATAAAATTTTCAAATGCAATGATCTAATATCACGAGCTTCGACATGACCTGTATATGTTAACATTCATCTGCTGAGAATATCGTCTCACAATTTTCATATTTTCAAACGTTTTACTACAAAAAAAATATTCAGGTTAACAATTTTTAATGTTACACACACTGAAAAAAATTATCGAAAAAGAAAAATTTATTTATTGTTAAAAATTGTCTGGGGGAAATCTACCCCACATAGCAGTTAAGGGTTAAAAAATAACTTGCCAATGTTATTGTAAGCAAGTTGAGCGAAATTCAGCTTTATATAAAATAAATTTCTATTTTTATATTGTTGTATCAGAATATGTATGCAGATATTGATATGAATTTGTTTATACAGAATTTTTAAAGTGCTTGTTTTTATAGAAAAGCTTATTTGAAATGATCGTTATTTTAATATTAGGCCATCTATAAATATACACTTTCGTCATGAAATAAGACGATTTCCATAGATCGCAGTTCAGAAATCTAATAAAAACTGGAAAAACTAAGCTTTTCTTGACTTTAGACGCGTTTTTCTCAATCACAAATACACTTAATTGAAATTTTAATGACGGATTTGGATTTCTCGTTTCACATTCTACAAAAATATGATATTTATATGTAAAATTTTCATCCGTTTTAAGGTTGAAAATGAGAAAGTTTGAAATTTTTCCAAAAATGACCACTTTTAACCCTTTTTTTCAAACTCAAAGGTAAATATTATGATGATCCTTATAGTATTTCTTGAATTTAAATTAAATAAGCTTCAAAATACATCTGGATTCATGTCGATATTTTTTTTAGATCAAGAGATATTTGATTTTGTCCTATATTTTTTTCAAAAGGTCTACAGTGTGACGTCTACCTATGCTGTCATTTTTCATAGTAAATTATGGTTTTCTAAAAAATAAGAATATATTTATAATTAAAAATATATAAATATATATATATATATAGTTATATATTATTAAATAACTTCTATAACATTGTATTTAAAATCATATATTGCCTACAGGTACTTCAAATTTTTAATCCTCAAAACTCATGGTTAGTAGTTATTTATTATAAACGAAACTTTACAAAATATCTTTGATATTAATTTGGTGCAACGATTGCCGAAAATCGTTTGGACTCGCGTAGGCTACTAAGCGTGGCTGAGCGTAACAGCCGCGATCGGTTTGAGAGA